CACACACACACACACACACACACACACACACACACACACACACACACACACACACACACACACACACACAATGATGTGGAACACACACAATGATGTGGCACACACATTTGCTCCAATGTACGCAGTGTGGCAACATACACGTCTGCGCATGTCCTCTCCTGTGATGAGAGGAATTTCAGGAGTTGGTTTTGTTTGACATGGCATGATTGTGATCTATTGGATTTTGTAACCTCAACTAAATGCTAATCATATATCACCGACTTATAAAACATTCTGAAAAGCTATCAAACATTGTGACCCTTTATGGTTGAACATTGTGACCCTTTATGGTTGGGAACTTAAAAAGCAGCACAAACCTCACACTGCTCACTGTGTTCGGCGTGGCAGATAAAAGTGTTCTTGAATGGTTAAATTCCTGCAATGCTCTGTTTATTATAGTTTTCAATGACCAGAGCATCGGTGGTTGTCACCTCTTGTTGTTCTCCAGACCCATCTCGGAATAACAGGTGGAGCCTGTGCCATCGGAGAGCAGCCTTTGAAGGTATGTACCTAAATACTGTAAATTCCCGAATGACCATGATGCCATGTTCGTCAAATCAGTGCCTTGATCTGAATTGTTTAATGTGAGGATGCGGCATAACTGATACCATTGATAGTCTACTACTGTCTTCCCCCGAATAAATCATCCGTTGTACGGTCATTGTAGCTGTATTTGGCTCACTTTTTTGTCCAGATGCAGCAGATGAATGTACGTTCTATTCGGGGGAAGAAGGTAGCAAACAGTAAACAGCTTCGAACTCTGACTTGAAGTGCAGGTTGCTTTTGAAGTCTGAACACAGCCAATACAATACCCTTGTGGTCAGTGTTGCACACCCCGACCGTCGGCGACCTTTGACTGGTCGGCTGGTTGGCACCTAGTGGTCGGGGGTCGTTGGCACCCTGCAAAAAAAAAAAAAAAAAAAAAAAAAAGGTTTTTTTTCCAGAACCCCTGTCTCTTATACACATCTAGATGTGTATAAGAGACAGGCACGTACAGCTTCCAACTCAGATCTGAAAAAAAAATAGTGGAT